CCTGTTGCTTCAAGAAATTGCATGTTATTTCATCGTAGTATGCAAGAAGCCACATACCTTGAACTTAATTTGAGATTATAAATCAAGTGAAGTAAATATTAGTGTTATATTAAAGTATAAAATACCAGTACTTTGGTTAGCATGAAAAAAAACTAGTACTTTAATGTGCATTCAACTTCATGAACAGGTTTTAAAGGAACTGATTGTAGCGCGCGCGCGCGTGCATGCACACACACACACACACACACACTCTCTCTCTCTCTCTCTCTCTCTCTCGTTCTTCCTTAGCTTGCTACTTTGATGTGTGGTTCACAATCATATTTTGATACCATGGTAACCTCCATTGCTAGTGACTAGTGGTTCTAGTAATTATAATCCTTGTTTGAAAAAGTAGTAGTAGTGTAATCAGAAAGTCGAGCTCACGAATGGTATGTACGTTGTGGCAAGAATGGTAAGCCATTTATTAGCGAGGAAGGAGAAGACGTTAAATGAACCCAGAGGTAAAAGCTCGGTCTGACAAGAACGTTTAACTTCGTTAATGATTTTTAATTTCAAGGATGGATGGTGCTAACAGTAAAAAGTTGAAGGATCTCATAAAAGGAAAAGAAACTTTAGGGACCTAATTCAAAATCAAGCCAAACTATAAGGATTTTTAGATTAATTTTTCCTCAATTTTTTTTTCGTGAACTATTAATCTAATCACTGTTATGAAGTGAGCCTTTTTCATTTTGTTGAAGTGTTATTTCATTGAATTAGTATAAGTACATCAAAACTTAAAAATCAAGTAATTTAAAGTGATGAAACCCATTACTTTTTGTTAATAAATTTTTTCACATCGTACTAATTAAATCATGGTTTTTTGAAATGAAGTGAGTATTCCTGATTCTAGAGAAGCGTTTTTGGAGCCACTACGTGGATGTTCAGAAGTTTCTAACTATGACCAATATAACCAATCTATATAAGTATTTCATTTTTGCCACTATAATTTAAACTTCTTAACATGTAATAAATTAGTTGGTGTTATTTATTACGAGCTGATCAATACATTAGCTACAGATATGTTTATGAATCACTTATACGTATTCACACGTTGCCAAAATATATTATCTTTAGTCTTACTAGTTCAAAATACATCAACTTTGATTGTGGTTGATACAAAAGTAACATTACACTGCGATGGGGAGTGAAAAATCCTTAAAAGTGACCTTGTTGAACATATCTATGGACAATAGTCCAAAGTCCAAACTACTTCTACTACGATAACAATTCCATAAGTGGATTGTAGCAATAAACAATAATGAGTTTGGTCCTACACTAAGTTAACCATCGCCAGGCATCAAACAAAATAACACTAGCTGACTAACTCCATGCAACCACCTAGCTTCTCAAGCAACACCATCTAGAGCAAAGCTCTCTTGACAGGCATTATCTTTGTGAAAATCAGGTTCCACAAAACCTTTATTGTGCTTGGATAGTTCTGTAGATAGAACTTTCCTGGGAAAAGCAAGATAAGCATAAGAATCTATATATTTAACGTTGAAGTAGTTGAACAACATGAAGAGAAAGATTTCGACCCTCATCATACCTTGATGCCTCTTGACCATAACATACTTGATGAGAGCGATGAGTTTATGCATGCTCTTTAGAGGAAGATAACTCTTCTAAGATTCCTTAGCTGAGTCACCAAAAAGAACACAGCGCACCCTGTCTCCTTTAGAGTGTCCAAAGAACACTGATATGTATGGAAGTAAACAATAACAAAAAAAGAAGCTTCAAAAGAAATATGATTTCCACTCACTGCGAGTCTCTTGTAACGAAAGTCAAAACACGTGTGAGCATACCCTTTATTGTAACCCACTTACCCTCCTCAATGCTAACTAACAGTCCACATACATCTGCATTTGAAATGGAACAAAAAAAAAGGCAGTTGAGTTATAACAGATAGTGATATATATTTTAACCGGAAAAGATAGTGATATATTAAGCACACTGGTTTATATTATAAATTCTCACACCCACATACCTCTCACTTTGAAACCAAAAGATGACTCCTTACTTAAGGCATCAACAAACTAGAGCTTCAAACAATTAGGGGGGGGACAGAAAATTTTGTTCCTACACCAATGTGCTATGAAGAAGAACTATATGATGCTTTAAATGGATACCATCACCACCAACCCCAACAGAGAAGTACTGAATGAGGTAAACCTTCCCCTCCAAAATGACATTGCATAAGTGGGCTATAAGCTCATCCCCTTCAATCCTCACAAGCATCCTAGTATGTTTTGTTCATACAGACAGAAGAATATAAACAACATGTGCAAAAAACATATATACAAAAACACTCAGATATGAAACATAAATAAGGCTGGAATACCTGCTCGTCAAAAACTATCGTGTCCAGAGAAATAAGCCTCTTTAAGTGACCAAAATCCCTCTAGTTATGTCATAGTCAGTCCTTGTGAACACCCTATCGACTTTCACTATAAACTTCTACGTCTCTGCAAAAGGTGCTACTTTGTTGAGCTTATCATACTCAAAAGCCATAGGATGTTAGACAGAGCATGGATATGATGCACAAAGGTGGGAATGAGAAGTGGTAGAAGGTAAAGAGAGTGACAACAAAGAAATTATTAGTGTTATATAATGGATGGGCCTAACACGAAACCTGTTGAAAGAGCTCCCGCCTTGACAAAAACATTTCAAAAAGTTGCAACAATAGCCCATGTTTCACCTGTGTGCATTAGAGAGAAGAAAAAACAGAGTCGGATAAGGTAACAGGTTGGCATGTGATATATAAGGTCCACACACTGATCCCAACAAGTAGAGAGTGTGGACGGATAGGAGGATGGTACTGTTTACAGAAATAGTAACATTCAGATCAAACTTCTTTTAGTTATATGGATTTAAAATTATTATATTTTGTAAATTCATATTTTTAATTATTTTTTATTATTTAATAAAAGTCATACTCATTTTGGTTACTCTACAAAATAAACTTATTTATTTAATCACAGTCCAAATAACTTCTTTACTTCACAAACCAACTTTTATAAAAGTCAATCCAAATATAAATCACATTACCCAATCTTACTTTTCTAAAACTTAGATTAAAAATGAGTTACTTTTTCTACCATTAATCTAAACGGACCCAATAACATGATATGACTCCTAATAAGCCAACCTTGATGTACCAGGGGCGACATAAGAGACGTTCAGTTGAAGTTTGACTTGATCTTGCTTTATTTAGTTATTTAAATTCGTTTTAGTGGCGTCACTTGGCAAAATAAGAAGACTACTAGGTCAGTCATAGTAGACTAAAAAGATATTTGGGTGGAAATTAAATTATAGTTTTAAAAGTGATTTTATAGTATACAAAATAAGTATGTGATATGAGTTTTATTTTGACATATATAAAAATACTTTTAAAAAGTATTTTCTTAGGAAAACCAAACATCCCCAAGTTTGTCACATTTCCTATTTCATTGTGATCCCTGTAATATAGGGATATTTAATTATTTCATGTTTGTTGCAGTGTGACTCAACTCTAAAAATATGTTAGCCTCCTTATTAGCTAGCATATGAGTGAATTATAATTGAGTCAACATTAGTTTATCAAAAAAAAAAAATTGAGTCAACAATTTAGAGATTCTTTCGGGTTATTTTCTCTAGTCATAGTGAGATACTTAGTGAGGAAGAGAGTGGAGTGTTCTTGTTCCTATCTCGTCCTGCTTTATTAAATTTCAGTCAGAATACATATCCTAGCATATAATATTTCTAGGCCCATATTTCTAAAATTTAAGTTTTCCTAACATGTCATGTTGTATCGTATCCCATTAGAGCTGGGAATCAAGGCCGGCCCTTCAGGGCTGGCGGGCTTAAAAGGCCGGCCCTCCAGGGCTGAAATTTTAAAAATATCCCAATTTGCTAGCTCGGCCCTTAAGCTACAGGGCCAGGACCGGCCCGCGGGCTTTTAGCTCGTTTAAGAAAAATACTATTTTTTATATTTATCATATTTTTTTATAAAAATATAAAAATAAACCAATAAAATTATTAATAAAAGACATAAATATGAATAAAATTAAGTCACAAATATAAAATATCATCATATGTAAATATTCATCAACATCTAAGAACATCTAAAATATTCATTAACAAGATAACAACATCTAAAAGTTTTATCTATAATTGGATAAATTATTGTCTAAAACTAAATTTAATTTTAAAATGATAATAATAACTAAATATTTGAAATATTATTAACAATGTAAAAAATTAATAACATTAATATCATATAAAAAAATTTAAAAAATAAAAAAATTATAAAAGGGCTTAAACGCGGGCCGGCCCTTTTAAGCCCTCGGCCCTCCAGGGCTTATTTCTCATTTTAAGAGAAAAATATCAAGCCCGACCCTCATAATTTCAGGGCCTAAACAGGTCGGCCCCATGGGCACGGCCCCTTTTCCTAGCTCTATATCCCATACACACACGCTGCTTATTAGATTGGCTTCTCTCGCGTTCTTTTTCCCCCCACTTTCTCTCCACTTTCCACCTCGACCTTTGTATTAAATTTTGATTAGTTAGGATCTAACATTCAACAAATTATTATTAAAATGTAATATATGAAACTAAATAAATAAATTTAAATTATGAAAAATTAATTTAAATAGTTGAGAACTATAATTGATAAAAAATGATATATATAAATATTAAATCTGAAGGATTGAAAACTACAGGTGGAGCGAAAAAGAGAAATGAAGAGGAGCCGTGAGTAATTCATGCGTGAGGTAGGCCAATTTGTCGGCAACAACAGAAACGTAGGCCCATCAAAAGTTATGGGCTCATTCTGCGAGATGCTCCGGTAGTTTACGCGGGAAACCTTGAAAGTTTCATTCTCTTCCCTCCCATTTTCTTGCAAATATGTCTCGCTCTTCCCTCTGAGCCTCCCTCTCCCTCTCCCTCTCTTGCGGCGACGGCAAAAGAGGACGAGTTCGTCGGCGGCTCCCATTAGCCCTTGTGCTCTTACTCCTTCCTTCCTTTCAGCCTCCTCCGCCATCTCTTCCCACCTCTACGACGACGGCCTCCGCCAGCGACGAACTCTGTCTTCTTCAACCTTAGTTGCAATAAGCTGTCAGCATCGTTACCCAACGAATGGAAAGGGCCATTTGCTTACTCATTGGTTTTTCCTGTGGTCGTTCTTCTGATTTACTCCCGTGAAGCTTCTCAGGTTATTAGATGTCGATTTCTTTCTGCCACCTCCTTTTGTGTCTGAAATTTGCTCTCTTTGCTTTCTCATTCTTCTCTTGTTCAGTGAAATTTCAAGGTCTTGGTGTATTGGTGGGTCTGTAAATCGACATTCAGGAGGCAGCGATGAAGTCTACCTATTCTTCTTTTCTATCAGATTTCGAAGAACAGAGCAAGTTCATGGTGAGATGTTTTTGAACGGGAAGAGAGTGAAGATGGGGAATCCAAGTGCTTTGATGCGTAAACCTGGAGCTTATCTTTCATGAAGAACTATCTTCAAATCCCTAATTTCCCTTCGACGTTTTTTTTTGAATTCCTTGCCTGCATTAGTCGTACTGCCGTCTACCCGAGCTACTGGTTCAGTGGGGTTGAAGATCGCACAGGTGGTTCTTCTGCCATTTACACCACCGTCGCCTCCATTGCTGTTAATTTTCATACTAGTGATGGTGGCTTTGCGTCACTCCCGTTCCCTTTGGTGATAAGCCCTCCAATTTAATAAAGTGACTGCTCTGTGCTCCCTCTACAAGGTGGCGTCTTTGCACGGATGGGGAACCCAGTTTTTGTTTTCATGTCTTTACGTTTCTGAAGTTGTTTAATTCTGCTTCTTTGTAAATATTTGTTTCTGAGTTGCTTCCTTCTTCTGATTCTTCTCTTTTTAGTCTTGTTTTGTTCATTCCTTTTGCAATTTGACTCGTCTTATGGTGGCCTTGCTTGCTCATAAGTAGAACCAGTACTTCTTTAATTTATTTTATTTGTTTCTTGGTTGTATGCCATTCCTGCCGAATAATCTGATGTTCTGTTTTTGTTTTTGATAGTGCAAAAACTTCTGGTATCTGTCCACTGACGCACCCACATGCCTCCGAGGAAGAAACCCAGCTCTTCTTCCAAGAAATCGAATCCAATCAGCGAGGCTCAACCTTCCAAGTTCGGGATTCAACGTTTTTTTGAGCGCCACACCCAGAATGCTCTTCTGGCCTCTCAAAAGCAGCCAACAAATGATGAATCTGCGGACCGTCCCGTTTCTGCCCCTCAAGATTCCAAATCTGTTGCACCTCTTAACTATCGTATGCCATCTGTTACTGGGTCACAAGCTGTTGCTCCAAACAATCTAGATTCCGTTCTACCCAGAGCTGACTATAATTTGAACTCAGACATGGGGGGGCCAAAAATGGGGAGTTCAGAATTGCAAACGCGTAAAGACATCCTCCCAGCAGGAGCAAATGAATTCAATAACGTGTCGCAGAATACTCCTTCAGAGAACTTGTTAATACCAGGGTTTGATGCTGTGGAAAATCTCCTTGAGGCGTCTCCGGGAATTTCTAAGATTGTGTCCCATAAGCGCTCTAAGTTCTCACCTGGGATGGTATTTGTTTTAAATGATGCATACTTTTCTTAAATAATAATTGATCAGTGCGTTCCTTTCTTTTAATTATCAAACTGATTGTCAATTCTCAGCTATTCAAAAGTAGCACTTAAATCCCACAGGTTATTAGTCCGGTCGGATAGCTAATCAATTATGGAAATTTTTATTTTCCGAGAATACAGTTTTGGCAATGCTTCAATTGCACCTGAATTGCAAGAACAATTTTAATCTTATAACTTGGAAGTGCTAATGGCACACTTTCTTCGTGACTACATTCTAATGCAAGTTGTTGATTGAATTGCAAGTTTGCGTCTTGCTTGTTTCCTTCAATGTTTCTAATTATATCTTTGCAAAAATATGCTTGTGGTTAGTTCATAAAACAGAGCCAGGATGATGGGGTTGACGAAGTTACATGGAAGATATCTCCTGTGAATGAAAGACTTCAAGCAGTTTCAAAACACACGCCTCAGATAATTCAAGCTTTGGCTGAATCTTCTAGAATCAACTTATTGCCCGTTGGGATTTCCTCAGAGAATCAGGCAAGCTTCTGAGAAGCACTCACTTTTAATTTGATGTTTTATCACTTGATATGGTTACAGATTACCGATGCATGTTGCAGACTTCTCTTACTAAAGGTGGCAAATTTGAAAAGTTACTTGCTTCACCAGTTACAAAGGCTGCTGAGAGGTCAACGGTGTCTAAGTATGAAAAAGGCTTGAAACGTATAAAACCAGACCAAGACATGGTTTTTGATGTCAGTTCAACTACTGCGAATGATTCCGGAGTAATTACTGGACAGAGCCCCTTCAGAACTCCACCCTCTTTATCCTATTGCTCTGACAAAGTATTTTAATCTTCATAGTTTCTTGGTTCTTTTGATCTTTTACTTCATCAATTTTCGAGTATAAAAATATGGAATAGCCAAAAGTTCTCCAACAATGTAAGACATCAATATAAAATTCATGGAAAAGTTTTTTCTAGTTTTAGTTTTTATTTATTTTGAGGGTTAGGGTGTCAATTTTCGAAGAAAGTTTTCACTTAGGTGCACCTGGAAGTTTGGGTGCAAATTTGCCGTAAAGGTTTAAAACCATAGCACTACTGTTGCTTCCTACTGCTGAAAATGTTAATATAATCAATGTTATTTTTTTAATGGTAAAGGGAAACATTGTTACGATTTTAAACTTTCGAGGCAAATTTGCACCTAAATCCTTATTTTATTTTTCAACATGTTTATATTGTACTGGTCACCTTCCTGTTTTTCAAATAATGCTTTAGTACCATCTTTATTTCATGTTGCATTTGAATATGCAGGTAATTAGGGATGTTGAGAACAATGGGCTATCTGACCAGCTTTATTTAAGACAGCATAAAAAGGTCAGGCCTTTGGACTTGCTTTTGCAATATTAATTCATTCAGATCTAGTTCACTGTAATTCGTAAATCCGAGGCATGTGAATATGCCATATTAATTAATTCCAGTTCTAATCTGTAAATTGCAACACCCTGTACCTGTAGTGACAATGACCTTAACACTTTTTCCTCCTCTGCTATTCTACTATATTCATTTTGAAAAAGAAGATATAGAGGAACGAGTTAGAGTTAGAATAGCAAGGAAAATAAAATATTTTGGCTTTAGAGTGAGATGACAGGAAACACATGACAAAGGAAATGCATCCCAAGCTATGTGCATATGGAGAGAAATAATTACAGTTTCCTGTGTGATGATTGCATGCACAAAATTTTCAAAACTTTATTCTGTTCTTGTCCTACCAATTTCACATATCTCTTCTGTTTCATGAAAAGGGGCTAGTGACCTTTTACATGACAGGTTATTAGCGGGTAAACCTCAGGAGTTATTATGCATGTGGAAGCCGCGCATTCATTTGAGTATTTGTTTTTTCCCCTTTATTTCTATAGGCATTGCTGGAACTGTTAGATCAAGTTGAAGATGCTATATGTGTTGAAAATGCTACAATTTGTGATAAAAATGCAAATTACATTAAGCCTCAAGATGCAATAGCTGATAATCTGCCCATCAGAGTTGACTGTGCAGCGGAAAGCACTATTATTCATACACCTAGAGAGGCCATCAGTGGGTCCAATTCTAATTATTTGGTGTTGGAGGTATTTTTTCTTTGAAATTATGGTCTGTTGTGATTAAATTTTCAATCAACACAATTTATGTTCTTGTAGACTTACCACTTGTATGTTTTGTTTTAGGTATCTGAAAAACATCAGCTTGCTAATTCATCTGCTCTGCAAAGCCCATGCAAGGTTTAGTAAGGCTCATTGCTATAACACATTAATATATTAAGGCTTAATATAGGCTTGGTAATTCATCTACTTGATCAATTGCTTTCTAGGTGCTTCGTTTAATAAATGAACAAACTGGAGAAGAGAAGGCTGTAAACTTGTTGGAAGAGTGGTAAGTTGGTGTGCTAAAGTCTATGATTGTATCTTAGTAGAGTTGATCGTATATATATGTAATAGTTCAAAACAAGGCATTATTTGGTATGTCAAGTAGTTTTGTTATCTGTTGACTCGGGTTAGAACTCCTGACTAAGTAATTTGTCTTTGAATTCAAGCGAATTATTGAATTTTGAGTTTTTAATTATTCTGTATGTTAATAATATTATCTTGACTAATTATATTTTGGCTTGTCTAATTGTTTAAAATTCCTGCAGGTCTTACAGTGTTGTTGCACCTGGAGATACTGTGAATATAATTGGTCAATTTGATGATCAGGGGCTTTGTGGTGTAGATCATGATAATAATTTTTTGATCGTACACCCAGATATTCTGGTGTCTGGATCACGGGTATTTATAGTTTTCTATCTTAAAACTATATTTATTCACTTATTTCTTTTTGTGACTTTTCCCTCTTGTATATACTCCATTAGATTTTTTTATTTGATGTTGTAATTTTACAGGAGCAATATTTTCTGATTTTCTCGAAGGCATATATTCATGAAGGAGCACCTAATACCTGAAATTTTTTTTTTTTGGCTTTTATATGCCCTGAAGTTTTTATTTTGTAGCATTTCTACTTTGAACCTTTATCTGTCGTTAACTTTGACTATTAAAGACAGGTCAAATTTAGCGGATAATGGTAAGGGTATTTTTACTGTGAGAATAAACTTTCAGGGTATGCCAAAAAAAAAAAAAAAAAAATTCTAAGTGCTGGGTGCCCCTTCATAGATACTTCTGGGGTATTTAAGCATCTTATCCTTTCTCTAATTACATATCTTTTATCTTGTGAGAATTTCATTTATGAAATGAGAATGCCAATATTTGCTATTGTAGAATTGTTGCCTTCTCTTCCCTATATATGTTCTTGTTATTTCCAAACAAAGAGATTCATTGGATCTTTTCTGAATCCCATTTCCTGATTTTTTTTTAGATGTTCATTTTACTGTTTTTTATTTTATGTTTCTTCTGATATACAGAATTATTCCAGGTAGCTGCTAGTTTTACTTGTCCAAGGAGGACGGTTTTAGATGAGAGGCTAAAATATAATGAGTACTCAATTGCTGCATTAAATGGAACCTTACTTCACCAAATTTTTCAGGTCTCTAAAGCTTCTCTACCCTATAAAGTGGTTATTGCATCTTTATAATTATTATACTGTGATGAAGCAAATATTGAATGTCAAATCCATTTTTCTTTTCATTCTTTGGCTTTTTAATGGGATCGGGATTTGATGGGTATGACAGGCTGGACTTATCAAGGATAGTCCTACAATAAACTTCTTAGAGGAATATGCACGATTGGTGCTCCAGAGAAACATCGAAAGCTTGTATGCATGTGGAGGTAAGGTTTTGTCTGTGTATTTATATTATTGTGCTTATGTGTGTGTCTCATACAAAGTTAGTTCTCACTGTGAGCTAGGAGTTTTTTCCAATTTTCGTTTGCAACCATAAGCATCAAAAGGCTGGATTAAATTTATTCTTCTTGTGGTTGATTCTTAACATTTTCCTCCTAACTTGTTCAAAAGAAATTTTTGATCCTCTGTGTTCTGTGTCACCCTCAGGAGTATTGATTTAGCCTTTGTGAATATTTCAGTAAATGAAAATGATGTACACAAAACCTTGATAGATGCTATCCCACGGATGTTAAATTGGATCAAACTCTTCAAGAATTCAGAGGTGCGTTAAAATAGCTCTAGCTTTTGTCCATAAACTATCAACTGTCATTAGCTGTTACCGTTTGGAGTGCATGTCATTGCCTTTTGCTGCCAAATGTAAGTCACAATACTACTGCATAGCTTTGTGATCTTTTTGATATGGATATGCTTATTATTTAGCCTATCTTATCAATAATTTGAAGTCTTATGAGATTGGGATTTATTGGCAAGAATCATAAAGTGTCTTGAAGAATAAAGGATGGTTATTTTGTGATTCCTATGAGCCTTATCGACACACATCAGCCTAAAAAGGAAAGAAAGAAAAGGGAATATTGACAAAAGATCATTTAAGCTATAATTTGCTAGAAGTGATATATTACAAACTTAAACATACAGCACTAGTTCGATTCATTCACTCATTTAGAGGGCCTCATCCCTTATTCATAGGCTGCCATTGTGATATAAGTTACCTCAAAGAATAACATCTATTGATGAATGACTAATCCTACCGAATTCCATTTAACAACACTCCCTCATTTGAAACGATCCTTGCTGTCAAGTTTCAAACATCTATACAAGAAAAATTTAAAATTTCATTGGTACATTTCAAAGTCTGTGTTATTGAGCTTCCTTATTTGCATAACTCTAAGGCTCTTAAAGTATTGAATTGTATGGCTTAAAATGCTCGTCTATCTTTTTAACTTTTATTATTGGAGACCATGATTTCTCCTAAATAGTTCATGTAGAAAGTATAAAAATTCTAACAAGCTACACTATTCTTGAGCCATAAAAAGTTCAACCCTTACTCCTTAGATTCTGCAACACGTGGGACCTGCATTAATTATTAATAATTTATCTCCTAATTGTTTCATTTTGTCCAACCACCACCTTTCCATTGATTACTTGCTGATTATGGGGAGAATCTTCTTGAGTACTAGCTTCTTTTTATTTATGGCTTGATTAGTTGAGTTATAGTCGCAAACATGTTCCCACGAGTTATGTTTTGTTTGCTGATTTCATGGGATTCTAGCATGGCAAATTTGTTGCCAGGGTCTTCTTAAATGCCCTTCCATTTCATCCAAATAAATCAAGATATTCTAAGTTTCTCTTATTCTAAAATCTCAACATGCACACAAATGTGTGTGTGATCCTTGCCTATGCACATGCGCATGGGGATTAAAGGAAAAGAAGATGGGATGAGAAGTAGAAAGCAGGAAGACTGCCTATTGTACATGTATAGAGAAAATAAATAAATGAATTTAAACTTATGCAACGTGTAAAGGTCATACTTGGGACCCAAGTGTAATTTTCCCTAATTTATATTTATATATATATCTATACATCTATATGAGTATGTTTTTGATCCTTTATTTATTTGGAATGATGACTGATGACTTCGGGTTTTGACAGGAAAAGAAAGATGCTTATGTTGATTTTGGATGTGATAATGGGATAAAGAAAGTCGAAATATCTGAGGCAAGCACCAAACTTGATTACTCTGTGCTTAACCTTCTGATGAATCGCATATCATTATGGATCCATGTGTAATCTTGTATATGAAATATGATTGTAAGTAAACTGTTGAAATTGTTGGATAAATGACTAGGTGTAAATGTTGACTTATTCTTGATTTTGTAAATTTTAAAGTTTTCCATCCAATAAGTTCATGTGCATATGTTCATTTATCAGTATAGAATTAAAATTAAAAATAATGTAGTTTATAGTTATTTCTATTTGTGATATTTCATTATTTTCTGGTGTCCCTAATTGTAATTTGTCCCTAGAGTAGCCCACCTTATGTTTGTACATACTCATGTAATTGTCTCAATCTAAAAATAATAAAGATGGGATGTTCAGACTTTTTGTCATGATATTTAATGTTTGTTGGAGAGAGAAATAAGCTTTGCGAGATGTTGGGACCAAAGCTTTGTCCACATGTCTAACAAAATTTTGTTGTTCCTTCTTTGGTTTGCTTTCTTCAAATGTGAGCTTCTGTGGCAAATGCAGGTAATTGATATTGAGGAGATGGCATGGGCTCCTAAATATGGTTTGAAAGGGATGATTGATGCTTCTGTCAGTGTGAAGGTTCTACCAAAGGGAAATGAAGATGAGAAGGTCATGCCATTAGAGTTCAAAACAGGGAAGGCAATGTCTGGCCAGGCAATATTCTGGTTCATACTACTAATAGATGTCATAAAATGTTGGTTTGGATTTATATCCTTACGAGAATGCATAAAACATCACTCACTTCGAGTTTTCTTGTATGATATTTCTTCTTATGACAATTGCATTTGATATATGCAGTCATCTATAGAACATCGTGCCCAAGTGATCTTGTACACTCTTCTGATGTCTGAAAGGTGCATAATCTTTTTCTAGCAGTATATCTATGCTAAAATATTTTAGAAAACATTCTTTTATTTATTTTGCATGGTTTAATTTGATAGGTACCTGAAGAATATTGATTCTGGTCTTCTATATTATCTCCGCTCAGATCAGACAGAAGTAAGGTTATTTTGATACTAATTAGCTATATCTTTTTAATAAGACGAGCAGTCTGATCATTTTTATTTTGTATGAAGGGCATTGTGGTTCAAAGATCTGACTTAGTTGGGCTAATCATGCGACGAAATGAACTTGCAAGTGATATTCTGAGGGCGTTAACCACACAACAACTGCCTCCAATGTTACAGGCATGTGCTTATTCCACATTTTTACACGGTGTTTATAATTTTATCAGATGTCGCTACCCATTTCTTCATCTTTCTATTGCAGAGTCCAAGCATTTGCAGAGGTTGTCGCCATCTTAATGTTTGCAGCATTTATCATAAGGTACTTGTTCAAGGGGTTTAGAAAATTGCTATAACTGTTTTTGACCTGTTCACTCATGATAAGCTATACTTGAATTTGCTTTCTCCTGATTGTCTTAAATTTAAATAACATGATCTTTTCTGAGTTGCCAACTTAAATACTATGTTTCTAATATAAACAAACAATAACATTAAAGTATGATTTTTTTGTCTTAAATCTAAGGAACCTTCATGACTATCATGCTATTTAAAAAGCACAACAATGCCTGTTGCTGAGTGTTTCCGTTCCTGATCATGATCATTGCAACTATTGTGTGTAATTCAGTATCATTTATCTTATATTTATGCCTTATTCTTGATAATAAGATGCTAGATTGTTAGAAAAGTTGGAAATCTCATCGGTGGCCCCCCCCTCATTTTCTAGAATCTTTTCAGTTAAGATATAAATACCTCTATTTCCACTTTCCTTCATTTTTTTTTTTTTAAAATCAGGGCGTTGGACCTCAAAAGTTGTAGAAAATTTAATTGTTTTCCAGACGAGTCAATTGTTTATGCCTTAATCATAAAAAGATGCAAATATCCAACCATGAATGTTTTGGAATTTAGAATAACTAGGATGTACCTGTGGATTTTGTTGCACGGGTATATGAAATTTGGAAAATGCTGTCGCATGCAAATTAAGAGATAAACTAAGTTGCAATATACTTTTATTTTCTTAACATTGCAAAATAGATTTAAGCTTGTTGGTTATGACAGAGTTGATGTGGGATACAAATTAATACTATTCCAATAAAATCAAAATGGCTTGTGTTGAGTTACAATATTCTGATCTTGTAGACAGTGTTTTTATTCCAAGATTTCCATGAACTTTAGCATATCTTGAGTTTTATATCTTGTTAAAGCTTTTATTTGTTAATCTTTTTGTGTGATCTATTGAAATGCTTTAGGTTCAAGGAGGAAGTGCGAAGAGTAGTGGATTGGGAGATTTGTTTGACTCACATACTAATCACCTTTCATCTACTTATAGTAAGTTCCTCTGCCATTGGGATCGGCTGATTGACTTAGAAGCAAAAGAGACTGAGGTATAATTTTTAAGGCAGGGTTCTTTATATTAGCCCCCACTGAGGTTTCTTCTATGTTTATATTAGCAGTGTTCTTTATATTAGTTTTTTTTAATGTCTATTCTTCACTTTCTTTACCTTTGCAGCTTGTGAAGAAAGAGATGTGGCGATCACATACTTTTAAAAGTCAGAATAGTACTGGCCTTTCTTCTGTTATCCTTGATGCTTCAAATAAGATTCCATGTCCGAAATCTCTTAAAGATAATTGTTTCATTTATCGTTTTGTACGATGTAATCCATCTTCTCTATCTGAAGTGTCTGATGGTGATCCTTCTATTGCTTCAACAAACTATTTGGATATCAAACTAAGAAGTGGAGACTACGTGGTACGAGTCATTTTCTTACTTTTAATCAACTGAATTGAGATATATGGTATACAATTTGTCTTGAAATAGCTTCAGGAAAATTAATATTTGACATGAGCGCTTGTGCTTTTTTAATGTGATGTTCAGTTACAATTGAGATTTGTCTCTATCATTACTGTTGTTGTTGTTATTATTTCGATGATTTAATGAGACTCACATCTTTATTTTAAGAAAAGTAACATTGAACATGCATGAAGCAGTGAAGTATAATCAAATCCAAGCTCAAACAGAAACCTGGAAATGATTTTTCCCTCTTTTGCTCTTACCCCACAGTTTCATGTTATGTTATACTTATTCTTTTACCTCGGGTTGTATTTTGATTGGCTATAATTTTGTCGTTCATGGTTTAACCATCGTGTGATTGTTGTTTTATTCCCATAAAATATTAAGTATATCAACTTACTTTGCAAAGGATTATCCATATTATTGTTTTTCACTAATTGTCTCATACTACTAATTAATTATTGTTTATTTTGTGTAACATTTTAGATATTGAGCACTGAATCTAGCCGTCAAGCTATTGCTAGTGGGGTGATTACAGACATTAGTCATGCCCATGTTTCTGTGAGTATATTAATTTCTTTCATTCGGTTTCTGTTATTTACACTCTTTACGCTCTTGCATTGGGCATTTTACTTCCTTTGCTCATCTATTAAAGCTATATTGCCAAGGATTAGAAGAAGCAGAATCCTTGCTGATATGGTTGTCTTACCAAGATGATAACTGTTTATCTTTCAATCTTCTAGGCTTCCTTTTCAAAGCGACTGCGGATTCCTGGAAGCCTCTCCACTAGCCAAGATCTTTATAAACAGGTTTGGAGGATTGATAAAGATGAAACTGTGACTTCATTTGCTGTTATGAGGTGCTTGTCTGGTTATTGCTTAATTCAAACCTCGGTTTTCAAGACATCTGCCAGTGTTCAAATTTATTTACTTATATGATTCATTTGTGACTTTTTCCCCCATAAAAGGTTTAATCTAGTACAACTTTTCCTACAAAATGATCAAAGTGCTCATCTGAGGAAAATGATTGTTGATCTTGAGGTGAGTTGCTTGCTATCATGTTCAGGCTCCCAACTTTGTCTTCCTTACAAGCTACATCATCTTATTCTGTCCTGCTGCTTTGTTGCCTATAGGCTCCCAAATTTGACAGTGGATCTATGGTCAGTCAGGACCCAGCAATATCATATGTGTGGTCAGAGAAGAGTTTGAATGATGATCAGCGTAGATCAATCCTCAAGGTTCCAATCGAATCTGAATTTCTTTCATTAATGTCCCGGATTTATTCAGCAACTTTTATTCACAGTTTTACCTGGAATTGACCTTTCTTTGTGAATCTGCTTTGCTACTCATTATCAGATTCTTACAGCAAAGGATTACGCACTCATACTAGGAATGCCTGGAACAGGGAAGACATCAACCATGGTTCATGCTGTCAAAGCATTATTAATCAGAGGCACATCTATTTTGCTGACAGCCTATACAAACTCAGCTGTAGATAATTTACTTATCAAATTAAAAGCTCAGGTATTTGCTTTCGTTTTCTTGTTGGTTGTAGCTTCTTAAAGCATGTGATCTTATTAGAAGGCCATCACGGGTTTAAATACTATATCTCTAATACACTCCATGTTAAAGTCCCCTGGGTTTTGTCACCAAAAACAAGAAAAGTCCCCTGGGTTTGGATCCAGGGCTAAGGACAAGCCTATGTTGAAATTATACGTTCACCTATGCATTGCTAGATAAATTTATTTTCTTGAAAACCCTTGGGTCATTGAAATAAGTTTGTTGATTACTTTCTAGATTCACAATCCTACCACTATAGTGCACACTCCTGAACATTGTATTCTAAAAACATCCAATTCACTGTATTACAGTGTGGTTCCTTGTAATTCAAGTATAAGATTCATAGCATGCTGAAATTTAAATTGTAGGGAATTGATTTTGTACGTATTGGAAGACATGAAGCTGTGCATGAGGAGGTTAGAGAACACTGCCTTTCAGGTTGGCTGATTAGTTCTTTTCAATCTTCCTTTTGATTTGGGGGAGTAGTTTTACTCAATCTTGTCACAATTGACAGCAACGAATGTACAAAATGTTGATGAGATCAAAGTAAGGTTAGAACAAGTTAAAGTAGTTGCAGTTACATGTCTGGGCATCACCAGTCCCTTGCTTGCCAACAGGACTTTTGATGTATGCATTATGGACGAAGCTGGGCAGACAACTCTACCAGTATGTTACTTCTTACCTTCTTGTATTTTTGAAATACTTGCGATACTTGTCATGGTATGTACAAATGTACAACTGTAGTTTTAAAAATTTTGTTCAGACGAACCCATCAGCAGAAAAGGATCCTGCAGGATATTTTAATCCTGGAATTGATTTGTGTCCCCTCTGTCCCTGAACCAAAGTATTCGTCTTGAAAGAATTTACCCAAAATGGCAAGCCAGCTTGATGTAGATGTTAAAATTGAGTATTCTTTATTTCCTCTTCAACCCTCAACAGTGCTTAGGCCTTCCTGAATTTACCGGATATCAGGGACTAGATCCTGCCCTTACGTGGGTGTGATACCTGGAATGAGAGACAAATGGGTCTATAATATAGCCTGAAGATTAAACCTAAGCTTTTCATGCTTGTTTCTGTTCAACATTGAAATTATGCTCATGTAGTTTCAATGCCAAAGTAGTAGCAAAAAAGATGGTGTTCAGTTAAAACAACTAAACAATTTGATATAACTTTGCATCAAATGGTTGCTATGTCAGGTGTCCTTGGGTCCGCTCATGTTTTCCTCAATGTTTGTACTTGTGGGTGATCACTATCAACTTCCTCCGCTTGTACAGGTATCACTACCAACCACTATCATCTTTTTTGGCATAAAACTGTGGGTAACCATTTTCAAATTTGTGTCAAATAATTCCTAGAGTGCAGAAGCTCGAGAGAATGGAATGGGTGTAAGTTTATTTTGTAGGCTCTCAGAAGCACATCCACAAGCAATTTCAGCACTACAGAGTCAGGTACTTGTGATTTTAAAGATGTTTGTTTCGTTTGCTTTCATTATCTATTTAATTACGTGCTAATTTGAAATATATACAGTACCGTATGTGTCAGGGCATCATGGACCTGTCAAATGCCTTGATATATGGTGATAGGTTAAGCTGCGGTTCCACTGAGATTGCTAATGCAAAACTTGAGTTCTCTACCTTAAAATGGGGCTTACCTTGGCTAAAAAATGTAAGACTACTATCTTTCAGGTTTTTATTGTTTTAATTTTTAATGGACTTCCATTTTTGACAGAATTTTATTTATTCAACAAGCTTCTAATTGAAGGAAGCAATTTTAATTTTGATTGTATGCCATTTTTGGTGTCATTAATTCTACCTTTTTTTTTCCCCATGCCAACCATCTTCAAGGGTTTTTGCCGCATATTTTCCTTCTGCTACTCAATTGTTTTTGCATGTGTACGGGCTTCTGTGGGTGCAAATGCAAATTCATTGAATTCGGTGACAGGGTTGCCTTGCTACATAGTTCTCACTTGCCAATAGTGAGGCACATTATGTTGACTGAAATTCTGGTTGTCTGATGCTTATCTAAAACAGCATAATTTGGCTACTTCATGTGAGAAGAAGCTAATAGTATGATACTAAGGTGAATGCAACAATACATTTTTTCTTAAAATGAAGGGTTCGCATAGAAAATTAAACAGGGCTTGGAGACTCCATGGATTGGCTTTGACTCCAACTCCGAAACAGGCTTGTGTTTGGCATTTTCATTTTATATTGTGTTTCTCTGCAATGGTGAAGTTTGATTATTATCCAACCTCAAGGAGTGTTGCAATCATGTGTATCATTTAGATTACAATAAACATGTTGACTAATTAGATTTTATTGTACTATCTGAAGTTTTATATCCTTGAGTTATTAGCTATAAATAAAGACATGGGACTTGGCTAAGCAAGCCAGTGATCCATATAGAATATTGATCTTCGATCTTTACCTTGCAGCAAGGTTTATTTTATATTTATTGCCTTTCACCTGGGTTAGAAAAATTTTAGATTTGTGTGAACTTGATGTCACCGAAACAATTTTATCTCGTACACAATTGACTATATTTACAAGGATGTAAAATTTCCATTTTTTGGGGTTATGATGCAGGTTTTGAATCCAGACAGGCCAGTGATATTTATTGATACTGGTATGTAAAGATGACGTTTCGTCTTTAATTTTTTATGCTCATTGTCGTTTTAGAATAATTAATGTAAATCTCATCATATTCCATCATAGATAAATTGCCCGCTTTAGAGGCGAGAGAACAGAAGACCATAAATAACCCTGTTGAAGCTCACATAATTGTTGAGGTATCTCTCAAGATAATAAATCTGCTCTCTTGCCCGCAATTCGTTTCATATTTCAAGCCATCTGACTTGTTATAAACAATTGTTTATTCTGCCTGAAATGTAGATAGCAAAGGCATTGATAAAAAATGGAATTGGAGAAGAACAAGTTGGCATTATTACCCCCTACAATTCCCAGGCAAACCTCATCCGCCAGGCTGCTTGCGTGACCTCGTTGGAGATTCATACAATTGACAAATACCAGGTTCGTCTTATGTACATGTTAAGATTACTTAGCTTGCATTACTCTACTGTTTTAAATCATTAATTCTCCTCATAATTCAGAGCCTCTTTGTTTTAGATTGACAAAAAGAAGTGATTTTGATGGAGTTACACGAGGAGTTTTTGAAAGAGCCTTAAGCTAAACACGAGGGGTTACTGGAAGAAAATCTATTGTCAGTTTATTTTGACAAGTGATTTTGACTCTGCTTGTTAAAACAAGCTGAAAATGAAGTTTCTTCTAATAACCCTTTATTTTTAGCTTAGAATTCTCTCAGTAACTCCTTGTAGCCTAATTAAAATCACTTTTTTTTTTTTTTTTGAAGTATAAACAAACAGGCTCTCAGTTCAGTAGTCTACTTATGTCAGGCATCACTGAATTGTTTATGCTTTTTCTTTTTAAAATGTTTTGTTATAGAAATACGAGTGTCATTCATATGGTTTCCCCCCCTTCTCCAGGGTAGAGATAAAGATTGTATATTAGTATCTTTTGTGAGGTCCAGTGAAAACCCATCAAGCTGTGCGTCTTCTCTGCTTGGAGACTGGCATAGGATAAATGTAGCTCTCACACGTGGCAAGGTATTTTATGCTTTTTGCTGTATGTTTATTGTATGTATCTGGCTTGTGTTTCATTGTTTTGAGAGTACGCTTGTAAATATTTGTGCAGAAAAAGCTGATCATGGCGGGTTCCTGTAGAACTCTATCAAAGGTTCCACTACTGAAGCTTCTCATCAAAAAGGTTGAGCAGCAATCGGGTATTATTAGTCTGTCTAAGAAGGATATCTATCAGAAAGGAGAGCTCAAAAGGTGTTCTCACATGAGATGATTCACAATTCATTCCCTTGAATTATTTTCGATCTTTTTTTTTTTTTGAAAGATTGAGGTCCCTAATGTACATAGGATCAGTACTCCCTGTATTAGAAATGTAAATACACATTTAATGAATTCTTTCATACTGATTATTCAAAGGTTTTCGTTTCTAATAGTTGAATGTCCCTGACATACTATGCATTATTAAATATTGCAAAAGTGGGGTGTGTTATTATACGTGCAACAAACACAGGCAAAGAGAAATTATTCATACGTGTCTAAATCTACTGAAACCATTAATAAAAGGTGACTTAATCAAAGACGAGTGTCCAAAGAACATTATACAACTTTATATGTTAAATTAGTACAAGTTTAAGATACTCACGATCAGCATAACAAAACAAAGCATCCGCGTCTATATATGTGTGTGTCTAAGTTCGTAGTAATAATTACTGAAACATGATATGATCAAAGAGGAGCGTCCAAAGGTTTGAAACCATGACGAATACATGCATCCCAAACTTGAGTGATACTGAAAGTGGTAGAGCCACACTCATGTACGTTCCATCCTTCCAACGCATGCACTATTCCTGCTATACGCCAAGCACTCATTGCCCTCCTTGGCAGCCAATTCTGTGATTAGAAATGGATGGGAAAAACAAACAAATTACGTGGTAACATAATTAGAATTATCTCATGTCAGAAAAACATAAGTGAACACTTCAATTAACTTTTATATTTATGACATTTCAACTAGTTCTTATATTTAGGATTGAAGTGTGTTATAGTTTTAAACAATTTTAAATTATCAGCATGAAAACAAAATCAAAAGTAAAACTGTCAGACTTGAGGCTAGCTGCTAACCTCACAACAATACATATTTGTGATTGAAGGAGAAGCCAACATTGCTGGAGTATAGTGGTACAAGCAATCTTTTCGCATTTGTTTTGGAGGGAATTGAGAAAATGGTATGAATAATGTTCCTTTTGGTGCTTTCTTTTGTTCATCTTCATCCCATCCATCTCCTACCAACCATATCTGCAAAATGTTGCATCATGTAGTAAAAAAATTCCATTAAATAAGGTGAAAAATGTCAAATTTTGAAATTTGCCGAATTCTTTTACCTTCTTCTCATAAGAAGCTGTTGAAAGTGCTCTAGGGTTTGTGTTGAGTCCCAGTTGAAGCTTTGTTAACTCATCTTGATATAACGTAGTCACCTGCTAACCAAATTTTCAGATCTTGCTAAATCAAAGTAATCTCATTACTTTCATAAAGTTTATTAGGCTTTACATGGTTTCACTGCCGTATGAAGTTAAAATTTTAAATAAATTAAAGACATGGAAGATTGTCTCTGTGTGTGTGTTCTTACCCGAACATTTGCTTCACACAAAGTGTTGGCTATAGCAAAAGAAACCTTATCAAAGTTTCCCCGCAGAAGAATCTGCTTCGTCCCTTTGGGAATGCTGCATTTCACAACAATGGCAGCAGCTAAGCTACTTCCGTCTACAACCTTTACCCTTAGTTTTGGAAACTTTTGAATATATAATTGGCCATAGGCATTGAGCTCTTCTTTCTGCATATGCATAAAAAGCGTTTAAATATTTCAGCAAATTAAAGTTATTAAAAGAAAGTAAAGAGGGAAATGATGTGAAGTAACCTGATTTAGAAGCCCTAGACTAAGAACTTTAACGCCCATTGAGTCAGCCTCAAGAACTGCCTCTTCTATGATCTTGTTAAGTCTTTTGCTCTTCCTTTTCAAGAGATACTGTATTATAAAAGAGGAATTAAGAAGGTCACAATGATAAAAATGCAATATAAGTTACAACAATGTTTATGTTGAGCTGAACCAAATTCTTACTTCTTGAGTAAATCTTGTTACAACCCATGTTTGCAAATTGAGCTTTTCGAAATTATTCCTTTCTGAGACAAAGGTACGACCAAGGATCCAAGCCATTAGCTTAAAAACAAATGTGAAGGGCCACATCAAATAAAGGTACCATTTTGGTGTTTGAGGGTTTGAGGCCAAAGAAGCAAAGCCTAATTGAAGATGGTAGATGGAATCTGATGTTGTTAAATGAGTTAAGTGAACCACATCTGGCAAGTCCTTTGTTTTCTTCAATGATGCTTCGTAAGTATCATCTGTGGATTCATCCCAAGTGCCATAAACGTAGTCATATATTGGCATGAAAAGAGAGTAATTTGTTCTGAATTTGGTGTGATGCAGTGAATGAAACCTGCGGCAATGATTTCCTAAGTTAACTATTCTGCATTCTACACACACACACACACATCTATGGAAAACAGAATATATAGCAGAAAGAATTATATTCATTCAATATGAATGAAAATCCGTGAAGAAGTAGAATTAAGGAACCAGATGTTAATGACTAAAAAAGTAATTCATAGATATGGCAGAAAAAGAAACGACCTCACATTTGGATTTAGAGGATTTGGAGAAAAATTATCAACTTCCGTTAATTGGTAAAGTTTGCAAGGTTACCACCCTTTCATACAAAATCAATTATGGAGACTCAATATATATTATATTTCTTGGGACAGTTTGACATTGTCTATGCAATTAAACACTGTTTCACTGTAACCTTCTGACATGGTTCTAGAATGATATCTTAAGAGATATTTACTAGGTTAAAGGGAGGGAAAGCTTTAACTGTCCTACATTCCACTTTTATTTCTCCGAAAATATTCTAACTATCTTCAACCAATGCATAGGCACGTATATCGAAATTTTTAAAAAAAAAATAATATTCACTTCCTAATCCTCCTTTTGCTTCATGTACCTACAAGTTAATTATGATAAAATATAAATCATTTAACAATTGATATTTCAGTTATGATCAGTTGTTTGGGATGTTATCGGTAAAATGATGATATTTTTACAATTATAGAACTTTGACTAAGGAATTATATATATCATGAAGGTAGCATAATTGAGACTTACGTTGGCGTGTAGCAGAGATACTTGAAGAAGGGAAAGATAGAGAAGAGCTTCTTCGGGAAGAACTCAAAGTTGCAGTGACCCAAGTTGTTCATGAAATCGATATAAAATGCGTAACCAAAAATGGAGGCCATAGAGGTAGTTCTTGTGAACATTATTATTATCATATTTGGTATTGCAAATAGAAGAAAATATGCTACAATTTCAGCAAACGGATGAGTCACAGCTGCCAAAAAAAAAAAGATTTAGTTTCAAAAACTTATTAATATAAGTATCTTTATATATATATGTACGCACTTACATTAAGCATAGAACCCCAATATGTGATCAATAAATGGACAGTACAAGTGAAGAAAAATATCTTACAAGTTATAGGCTGAGTGACAATAGAAGAATGATGGTGAGAATGGTAGCGAGAATAGAGAAAATGATGGTGAAGAGCTCTGTGAAGCCAGTAGTAGAGAAACTCCACAGGACCAGCATGCAATAAAGCTGTGAGAACTACACCATCTGTTCTCCATAAAGGCATGGGAGAATTATTCCCTGGTAATGTCATGTACCCTATGTATAACAAGAGTCCATGCAGCAAAATCTGGTCATCCCTACAAGAATTGTTTAACAAGTGTGTTATAATAAAAAAGACTCCGGAATAGGCTTTTAATAAATTTGGTTTCAACCCTGTTGATTTCAAGTGATTGCCATATATTATGCATACATACATACATATATAATGATTTGTAAGAGAAGGAAGATCATTAAGTCAGTCATCGAATATTAATTTAATTACTCATCTTGGTCTTTTTTATAAGAGAATTTTTTCCAAGGGTTCACTTTAATGCTATTTATGAGAAATAATAATCACTTGTCTAAAGCATTTATAAAAAAATTTCTTTTTTTATTCTCACTAAAAGAGAAGTATTTGATCAATTATGGGTAAGGTAACATCTAGTACCCAAATGTTATTTATTTTTAAATTGCATCATACACCCTAATATTAATTTTAGTGCATCCAGCACCCAAAACTATAAATAAAATTAAGGTGCTGAATGTAATTGAACAATATCAGAGATGCTGGATATATCATAAATAAGATTAAGTTGCTAGATGTTAATAAGAAATAATATCAGGGCGTTAGATGTTACTCTTCCCATCAATTATTAATTGAGGTTATTTTGGGGTAGAAGTTTATATTCATAACATATTTATTGAATCCAAATTCCTTGATTCTCCTAGTTATATTCGTCAAGAACCAGAGAGAGCATATAAATAATTAAGTGAGAGAGAGAGAGAGAGAGAGAGCAGAGAACCAGTTGCTTTCTCTGTCGACTTGATCGAATTCAAGGCCTTTATCAACAATCCTGTTTTTGCCCTTAGCAATTTGATTACGAGAAAGAGAAATCCATATTTGGTTGTGAAGCATTCTCGCCAAAAGAAATGGGAGTACCAAATAGTAAAATGGTTCTTCTACATAATCATTGAACACCACAGAATAAATGTTGTGGGCAACCCATGGGGCCAATACTAAGTACTGATCAATGTTCATCCATCGTCATGCAAAAACAGAAAAGAAACCGATTAATAACTCAACTTTAATGAATACAAATTGAATTTACTACCAAAACTCATTACATCAAGATAACTTGTCAATATGTGAGGTTCTCCTTTAGTTTTATTTATAAGAGACTTCTAACATATTCTATTGAAATTAAGAGAATCCTAAATTTCATCAACTTTGTTTTAAAATTTAATAACTTTACTTTATATATACTTTTCAAAATAATAGTCAATAAAACAATAAATTAAGAATAAAAGTGTATAATTCATATAATAAATTTAATGCTGTAATATTTATGAAAGACTAAAAAAAATTCTCTTTGCCTTATAAATAAAACTAGAAGATTATACTGATTTTGATATAAATATAGTAGTAAATTCTGTAAGGCAAGTAGGCAAAAGAAACGGTATATCTTGGACATAACAATAATATACAACAAAGTATTAAGATGAAAAGAGAGTATATATCTGTCAAAAACAGAGGAGAGTATATTTCAATTTTCAAGTATTAAAAGAAAACACAAAAACAAAGAAAAAAAA